CCCCCTCCGGTAAAATTAGGGTTTTTGGCCTGGTTTTTTTTTTTTCCAAGGAAAAGGGCCCGGCCCCGGGGGGGGGGGTGCCCCCCCCCCCCCCCCCCCCCTGCCGCTCGTGTGGATTTTGTCATCATGTGTGTGGGTGTGTACGACATGTAGGAAACAAGAAGAGGCGTCTTATTTCTTCTTTTGCACTACTCCGTACTACTTAGACTTTCTTTTTTTTCGTTGACCTCTCCCTTGGTCCTGTAAACTCAATAAGATCGCATGACCCGAATGGTTTTTAACTTAACTAGTTTGTCCACGAGTCATTAATTAATGCAAGTAGATTGTTCACCTTGATTATTCTCATTCTCATTAGAATTTGGGAAGAGTTACAGCAAACGTCTTGTGATCTTGTGCTCCGCGGCGGATTTGGGCGCCAGATGCAACGTCACCGCACCTTTAATCAACGCAAACGAGGTATTGGATTGGCCAATGGGAAAAATCAGCGACAGGCTGCTGCTTCTGTCTGTATATAGCCAACATGGGCAAACACGCCAGCGGTAGGTGCACCTCATGTAGCGCCGCCCTCCGGACAATCGGAAGAAAAGCACCTTCCGCTGATCTGTCCACTAGTCGTTAAGCACCGCGCCGCCGGTACGCCACCTTTTTTTTCCAGCGGAAGCGGCTTCTCGGGTTGGCTGCTGTACCGGCGTTGCCTCGGGCGTGACCCGTGCCGCTTGCTGGCGGAACAACAAGGCACGAGCGTGACGGCCAGTTGGCGAGTCCCTCGTCACGTGGAAACTGATCTTCATTCTGGAATTCAATCGTTGCCGCAATAACATTTTGCTGTGCAGACTGAAAAAGAATGTCAATAAAGTTCATGTGCACTCAATCAAAACTCACAACATGATGCACAGTTGTTGCTGTTGTCTTCACATTAAAGTGCTTCATGGGCAAAGGGCACCATCAACAAGTAGGGGACACGAGGAACGGGAACGGGCGGGATTTTTGAGGCATGAGAAAAACCGCGGAGCACACTGTTTTCCCGGTGATAGTAACCTCCCCGCACCACGTGTCTTTTGTCATCTTCCCGAAGTCGGGATCTCGTAGTAACTGGTGCGATGCCATTCTCGGAACCATTCTCGGAACAGAGAGCGGGGGCTGGGGAGTAAAATAACCTTATATAACATTAGTCACCGACAGACCGTAAAAAGAGCAACTGAAGGAATGCATACATGCACGATGATGGCCCAGTAGGGATGAGAAGTCGTTGCCCTTCCCCCTAGGGCTTGGATGGCAGGGCAACCAACACGCATTGGATGAAAGACGTGTAGTAAGATGACGTAGCCATACCCTCCAACCGATTACTATTTTCCAGGTTTTGAGGCAGGCAGCACTATTGGAGCAACTATTCGCAGCCTGCTCTTCCTCTCGCTCGGACGGGGGCCCACCTCCCAATTAAATTGCACGGGGCGCTCGCAACCCTACCAGACGACTCGCGTCCGTCCCTGCCCCCACAGAGTAAAAAAAAATCCGTTTCCGGAAGCAAGCACGAAGAAAGACACAGGCCCCACCTTACGGCCACCTGAGGTAAGCTTTTTATCAGATCATCACCGCCACCCCCGCAAGCCGCGATTTACCACACACATCAATCAGAGTGGGACGGTGCGCGGTGTAACCAAGATGGTGGGGAGGGATGTCAACTTGTTTCTCGGGGGAAATGCTTTTTTGGGAGTCAGAACAAGACCGTAACGGGGGTCAGTTTCTCAACAATTGGGCACGTTCTAAAAAGAAAAAAAAAACTGACTTTTCCACATCCCGACCTTCTTACGACCCTACCATGGTTGTTTGTGTTGTGAACCAACAGCAGCACGCTACTACCTGGCGAAGGCCTTACGACGATAACAACGGGCACTTGATTGCCCGACCGCCCCAGAACGACGAACGAACGGATGCCACTCACTGCTCTGTTTGATTCAGTGCGGTCGACATGCTACTTAAAAGACTTCTAAATACACCCAACGAAACCCCTGCCCCTCGGCCGGGCGAACCCCCCCCCCCCCCTTCCCGGCGGCGCCACGACTCTGTTGTTCCTTGCGCCGGAATTACTCTCTGAGCTTTACCACAACGGAACCAATCAGTTTTTGGGGGGACTTGAAAAGTTCTACTTGTCGTTCGTCCCATGACGTATACTTAAAACACTATTACTACTAGCGACCACCGCTGGCTCAGCGTCATGATTGTAGTCGAAACAAAGGAACATCCCGAAACAACATTAAAAACCCGCAGCATCACATACGTCACACCAACACAATAAAAAACAAAAAAAGTGAAAAATCATCCAACCGTCCAACAACCCGTCCAGTTCTCTCCCACACCCAGTACTCTGCAATAGACCAAAATCGACCAAAACACCGGACTACTCCAACAACAACAACCGAAATGCTGTACGCGAAAAAAGACAGACGCTGTGACGCGGCCAAACTACATACGCCAAAGGCAACGAACACTCGGCAGCACATGTGGAAAGAACACCACAAATAACAAGGAGTAAATTTCAACGCAGACCGTCACTACACGCCAGGCAGGTTGTACTTCTTCCCACAAGCCCCCCGTCACATTCGACGTCGCTGTTTCCACCCGCCCGCATCCGGCACCACTACCTTCCACTATCCACGGCAGCATCAGCACCCGAAGTGTCCATAGCAGTAGCAGCAGGGTCGGCAGAGACAAACCCGTCAAACCCCTCCCCTTCCGAAAGGCGTGGGCGCTTCTCACCTCTCCTCGCTCCCTCGGGGGACGCACCGTTAACACCCCCCCCCCCGCCTTGTGTCGGAATCCTTACCGACAAGTGATTGCTAGAGGAGACCGACCCTGGTTGCGCATCACCGCCGGCTCTTGACGCACCAACGCCCCCGGACCCAGGCGGCTCAGTCGCGCACATAGCGGCCGTTGCCTGCTCGCTGCCAACCATCGGCGAGGGGTTGAACGCTGGTGCGATAGAAGTCGCTGT